CTGCTGCTCAATCTCCTTAATTCTTTCTTTCATCAGCAGCCAGCAGGTATCTCAGGGTACCTATACACATGCAGAGAGGCTGCTCTGATGCACTTTAATTAGCGTGTCAGAGCATGGTAATTACCATGCTCCAGCAGACTCCAGCGTCATATGTATCAGTGTCCCCGTGCTGAAAAATGTCAGTGGTGGGGAGGTTTTAACTAAAGCTCATTGACTAATTAAATGGCCCCACCGCCATTTTTCAGTGTAAGGATGCTGATGCATGTGATGCTCTGGGTGCCTTAATTAAAGCCACTCTAAAGCACCCTCCCCTCCCCCACCCCAGCCTGTCCCTCACACCTTGACGCCTCCATTTCCATTTTCACTGACTGGCTTTCTTGCTTGCACTGCACACCAGGCGAGCCTCTGACTTCTTTACTGTTTCTTCCATCCAGGACCAGGAGACACACCAACTGCCAGTACTTCCTCAGCCTGACAAAGAGTTTTTCAACCCAAAAGCTTCCTAAGATACATTTTTCTAACTATTTCAGTTTTTTCATAATAAACATATAAACATAAAAACACAAGATAAGCCATCACACACCATGAGTAACATATATCCAATACAACATCTTTACTTCTTATTGTCAATTCCTTTATAAAAAGAAAGGCTCTGTGACACTTCCGTCTGGATACCTTTGACACTGCTGGTGCTATTGGTGCTGAGCCAGCCAAGTTATTTTGACCTGCCGTCATTTACAGTGGTGGACCAGGCTGAGGCTGTAGGGGAGGAAGAGGCCTCATGGGGGCACACTGCTGTGTTGTGCAGAGGCCCTAGCACCAGGAAGGGTGCACCTGAACACATACACACAGTCCCACAAGCACCCATGTTACAAGTTTTGGCTGCCTGCAGCCAGAGGTGCAGGGCCCCAGAATCCAGACTCCCACTGCACCAGTCTCCTTGAAACTTGGCAGGCTTTGTGGCTTCAGCAAGAGCTACCTTCCCTACAGTTTTCACCCCACTGTGGCTTAACTCACACACATGTCAGGAGTTTTGCTTTTCAGCAAATTAAGGTGCAGTTTCCCAGAAACCCCAGCACCTATCACCTTAAAACCTAGCAGCAGAGGCTACCACCCCTGCAAGTTTAATCCTAATCAGCCAAAAAACAACCACATTATAGATATTTCATTGATTCCCCATTATACCCTATGACCGAATCGCCGAATCTTTTCTGAATCTTTCCCAAATCAATTCAGAAGCTCTGAATCAATTTGGAAAGCCTAAAGCTTCTAGCAATTTGATTCAGATTCATAGACTTAGCCTCCAAATCTGCTGAATCATCTCCAAATCTGAATCATGATCCAAACCTTTGCACAGCCCTAGTAAAGAAGTTCTTCCTTATGTCCAGTCTAAAATGGTCTTCCAGCAGTTTGTGACCACTGGACCTCATTTTCCCTGAGGAAGCCCTGGTGAACAGACATTTTCCCAGGTCCTGATGAACACCCATGATATACTTATAGGCTGCCACCAAGTCCCCACTAAGCCTATGCTCAGCCAAGCTGAAGAGTCCCATGCCTCTCAACCTCTCCTTATATGGCCTGCTCTCTTGACCTCTGATCATGTGTGTGGCTCTCCTCTGGACTGCAACTTGAGACCATTGCTCCTTGTTCTGGCATCAGCCACCACTGAGAATAGTACAGCTCCATCTTTTTTGTAACCACACATCAGATGGTTGAAGGCTAGAATTAAAGTCCTTGGGGCTGAGAGTTCACAGCGATACCCTGTGGCTGTCAGGACAAAAAGTCCCACAGCTGCAGACTCTGGGTCCTGGCAGCACCTTCACTACTGAGGTGAGTGGAGTGGCTGGATTCTAGCATCCAATTTTGGGGACTTGTTTCCTGGCCCTATTGGTGCATAGTGTACCCGTGTAGCTGGAAGCCTCCCTGCAAGGGCAGACTCTGTTATACATGCAAATTAAAGCTATATAGCAACAAGCTGTAAAGTTGTTATACATTTTTAGCAACAACTTTATAGCTGGTTGTATCTTTTATGGCACTATTATTAATTTACACATGTAGTATGTGCAGTTAAACTGGTAACTGCATGATACAGGTAATGTAGAGAGGGCTTTAGAAAAAGAGGGATTTTTTTTTAAAATTTCTAAATGGTTTTTGGAAAATAAGCTCCAGGTATTTTCCACAATATTGCTTGTACATTATTCCAACACTTCTGAAAAATCTCTCCTTTAGTTCCAATTTGAGTCTTTAATGACAGTCAATTGATAGCCAGTGATATCAATAGCAATGATATGTGCAATGATAATCAATGTTAAATAAGAACCAACACTTTGAGATGCCCATGAAGATGCAACTGGCATTATCACCTGATATGAGAACTACTCCAATTAGATATTTTTTCTTTAGTTTTACACACAGGTCTTACCCACAATGAATGACTATTTCAGAACATGGGTTTATAAGTATTAATCCAAGTATTTCTAATATTTCTATAGAAACAAAGAAAGTTTAAATCTGTGCATTCCTAACAAATTAGGACTATCTACTAAAGGATATTTCAACCAGACACAAACTCTGTCATTTTTAATATATTTTAAATACCTGGAACACACACACACACAAATATAAACTCAGAGTACTTGAAAGCAGTCGTGGTCATTTTAGACAAAAACAGTTACAATATGACATTTACCAGCCACTTTTATTTGATAAATTGTAAATATCCACTGTATCAATTGTAAATATCCACTGTGTCCGCAAGCTGCAGAGAAATATTGGTCACTAGTAAATGTACAATAATAATTCCAGGTATTTACAATATCAAGCCACCTACAGGAAGAATACCTTTACCCTTAAGGCAAAGAGAGAGAATATTTATTGAGACATAAGTCTTATGAAGCCTCAGCAACAACTGATATATTTCTGGAATTTATGCAGCATTTTTATTTTATTTTCTCTCCATTTCTCATGGGACTACATCAGTAGGAAAATCAAAAGGTCTTATTTACTGTTACATTTAGAAATCTGAAAACATTCTTGCACTTTCATAGAAGCTAGTATGACCCACATTTAGGAATTAATAGGAAAAAATGTTTGTTTTTTTTAACACACAAACATATACAGTATAAAATAAAAATAAGAGGTAGCAATGGTGAAGGAGCACAAACATAGGGAATGAAATTCACAGTCCAAACCAGTTTCTCTGCCTGTTCTTGAATATAATGTCACATTGAAAGTCAAATGAAGACCTTCTAGAAAGTAATTATAAACCTGCAGAAACCCCCTGAATTTCTACTCGCTCACACCATGGCTGCAGTCAGCCCAAAGAGTAGTGAAGAATTCAAGCTAACTAGTCCTGCTTTATGCAAGTTATTTTGTCAATCAGAACTGTAGGCAAATTACCTTCGACTTTAGTATAGGGCTTCCATTTGTAGTACCATCCGCGGAAAGGCTTGCTGTTATACTCTGCACACTGCTGTGCCCGGAAGTCCAGCCTATTAGGTGGGCATAGCTGAATATTGCAAAGCTGATAAATACGGCTGGAACCCTGACAGAACTTGCCACCATACTGTGGCCTATGAAGAAAAGAGAAAAGGTCTTTGCAAAACTGAACATGAATGGGATTGACAACTGTGACATATATTAAACACCAGTAAACACATAAGTATCATTGTACTGAATATTGAGCTTAATGAGGAAGACTTGCTGACTTGAGATCACTGGTTACCTATGTGTGTGCTAAGAGGTGTGGGGGAGAGGGCTTTTAATTAAAGTGGTTCCCAGGCAGCCACTCTAATTAAAACAGTTCACTGTCATGTGTATTAAGCCCTGCTTGCATTACAAAATGACTGTGGGAGCGCTTTAACTAAAGCTCATTCAACAAGGTTTAGTTAAAACTCCCCCATGCTCATTTTGAAATGTGATGGGGCTTAATAGATGTGTGATAATGAGGCCACTTGTCCATGTTCTAATTAGAATGTGAACAAACATGTCTATAGGCAGCCAGTCAGAAAAGATTCATAATGTTAGGGGCTGGAAGGGACCTCACAAAATCATCAGGTCCAGGGACATTTTAATAGTCCTGAGACCCACGCTAAATAGTCAACAAGTACCACCCATTTGTATTATTTTATATTAATTTAAATATGCACCCTGGTAGAGAGCAATCATGTTTTCATTGAATTAAATTCTTGCCTAACAGGATATTTTTATTTGCATATATTATCAGGTTGGTAAACAGAGTTGTACATCTCACTATGACTGACCTGAGGAAGTAAACAATATAAATAAATTGACAAGTTATATGGCTGTTTTCAGTCTACTATGATCCAAGAGGGTTCATGTTTGCAAAAATATTATTTATTATAAAAGTAGTTAATAAAGGAAGAACTTGAAGATAACATTAAACTGGTAAGATATTAATAGAATGAACAATTGTTCAGTATCGTTAAAACCGAAATATGCACTTTTAAGTAGTTGTATAAGTTAAACTTCTAGAAAATAACAAAGGACTGTGAACAGGAAAGCACTTACATTAATTTTTAACTTTCAATATTCATTGGGCTTTAAGTGTGTGCTAAGATGCTTTCCTGAATTTAGGCTAGTTTGAAAACAAGCATCCATAAGCCAGAACTGTAAGAATTGGTTGCGTTATTCCACCTACTGCTTGATCCTTGTAGGAAAAAAGATGTAAATTCTGCACCTGCATACACTTTTATCAAGGCTTTTAAAATGACAGGCAAAATACATGCTTGGAACACATGCTATGATCTTTCAGTGGATGCCTTTGCCGCATTACGTCTACCTTGAAGAAAAGTATTTTCAGAATAATTTATAGGGTGTAGTACTTGCACTGTTCCTCCCTGGTAAGAATAATGGGAGTTATTTGTTTAAATCCCTATACAGTGGCTGTGTCTATACATGCACGTTAATGTGCAGTAACCTATTTTACTGCACATTAGGGCATCACATCAAAAACTACACTAATACGCTGATGCGCAGTAAACTAGGCCCATTAAGTATCACTACAAAAGCGTGGACTTTCTCTACTGTGCACTAGGGTAGCCTAATGCACATCTATTTAGTACCTCACATTAGAGGTACTAAATGTAATGCACAAGAGCAAAAGCAGATTAATGAAGGTGTAAATGCACCCAGTGGGCATGTCTACACAAGATGCTACGTAGTATTAGCAGGCACAAACTGTGCCAATACTACTGTGCAGTAGCAATGAGCTGCTGCACAATAGCTTGCTGCTTCTACACAGCAGCATCAGAAACGACGTGTGCAGTGCTGGGACTGTGCAGTAACGGCAGTTACTACACAGTCATTTAGTACTTACTTAAGCTGCAACAACTGCACAGTCCAGTGCACATATAGATGCACCCGGTATGTTATAAATGTACCCTATGTCCAGGATACCTTGTAATTTATCTTAATGTACTTTCTGATTAATCCATTGCATAGTGATGTAATGAAGACAACTCTCTGAATTCAGGTGCGTTTGGTTTTTTACTTTTTCATGCTACATTCATGTTTCTCATTCTAATCCTCATGCATTTATAAAACATGTTGGGCGGTCTTGAAAGAGCATTAAAGTTGTGAAGGTATACAATGGCTGACTTTTTCAGAAGTCTTTAATGAATACTGGAGTATTCTCTCAAAGGAAGCTGGGGAAACCCATATGTTAATCACTTTAAAACTGGACAAAGCGCTAGGGAAATAAGCTGTAGGGAGCAACTTTGTATTCACCTCACCTGCTGACAGTCTAGAATTGCTACCACCTATCCTAATATTAGGCCCAAGAGTGAAGATCTTACTCAAACAACCCTCCTGCAATGACTAGTGACCATTTAATTAATCAAATGTATTTTTTAGCTCTGGATGGATGCATATTTAACTAGATATCCAGGTTTATCTTGACTAATTGTAATCAATGGGAATTTTGCCTAAATAAAGGCAACAAAAATGATTGGGCCCATGGTCATTCTATACAGGGAGCTTCCTTTACAGCTTTGTTATATTTATGATTTCTTTAACCTCCTTCTGCCTTAAAGGGTAAGTCTCTTCCTATGTAAGCAAAACAAACAAAAAACCCAATATATTTCTCAAGTAAAAGTTATCAAATAAGAAAACTGATAGAATCATGCAGGCCTTGATTATGTCTTAAATAATAGCCTCAGCCTTGCATTTGAGGGTGGTATAAAACTTCTTCAACCTGGAGACGCACTGAAAGAGGTGCCCTTGTTCCTCATTTGGGCTACAACCATTAAATGCGTCATGTACATCTCCCCCCCACCCCTTCTACTGACATTACATGCAGTTACCTTGCACAGGAGTGACATGAGCACATGCCAATGTGTGTTCATCTCCTTATATGAAACAGTGGACAAAGGAAGGGGGAGGAAAAACTCACAATGAGTTTTGGAAAAGAACTACTAAAAGTGTACTCCAGGGGAAAATGCATCAGCCACCTCAAATAGTCCAAGTGCAAGAATATAAACAGATTAACTAAGAAATAACTCAATGACTGATAATTAAAATGCCATTAGGGTAGCTTGAATGCATTCACTTTTCTGCAATACTCAGAATACGCTCAGCAACTCCTATAAGCATCCTAGTGGTATGTGTATATGTACATGTATGTGAGTAGGCAAAACTTCCATTGTTTTTGTAGCAGTCAAACAACCTGTCAAGGCTTATATTTGCCAAAAACTGGTATCAGTTGGCAAGATTTTTCTAGACTTGGTACATCGGTTAAGTAGCAGTTAAAAGAAAGTGAGATGGCTATGCATTGGAATGTAATAGAGACATGGAATACAAAATTATTTGGTCATCTTTCTGAAAGGGGAAGGTATTCAAAACATCACAATTAGCAAGAGGAACTAGATTGGTTTTGGAGATAATCGTGTGAACTCAGCTCAGACCATGTTAATTATAGCACTGAAAACTAAGAATACTGTTTTCAATGTGAATACAATGGTCTATACATGCGCTTTCACAGGTTTTCTTTAATTAATATTTTCATGGTGTCATTTTAAATTCACAGTGCTTCTGATCTTTCATTTAGACATTGTATACAAAATACGAAAATAGGTGTGTTGAAGCAATTTTATTGTTTTAGTTTTTTGATTACATACATGCCTAAGGCTATATTCTAATATTTTAGTGAACAATGCGCTATTATGAAATACGTAGGATGCAATCCCACAGATACAACCTAGGTATTAACATAAATCTCTTGGGCACTATTCAGGTTCTTTACCAGCTGAGCTATTAAATTATGTAATCTACTTCTTTCTCAGAAAAATATCTTGATTGTCAAATGTTGTGATGTATGAAAACCAGATCCATGAAATTACACTGTGACAATTTATAAAATGACGATTTTAGCAAATCTGCATAGCTCAGTGTACTACAGAGGACCTCAGTAGTTGTTTAGTAGCGAAAGTTCATCTGTAATCCAAATGGTCATTTCAAAGGACTGTAGGGCAGGACCATGGTGCCTGTCTTATGAGGATCAGTAGAAAGGGAACTGAACCTGATGGGTACTGGGTACAGCAGAAGCTCATATGAGCATAGATAACGTTTTTCACAAGTAGCACCCTAAAGTTATACTCCTTGTCCTTGTTTGAGCTTCTAAATGAATGGTGTAATATTTGCATTTCTTGTACACCCAGTAGCCAGTCCCCTGTTGAAATCCACAGGGAACGAGTGATTTGGAAAAATCAGCCCATATGTGTAGGAGCCCTCTTCTAGGAACTTAAACCAGCCTTCAGCAGCATGCTGAAGTCCTTTGGAGAGTCCTCTGAGCAGGGGCTAGCTTCACCCTGTTTTAGCTGACCATCTTAGTTTCATCTGAACCCTTTCACCAATCAGCGTGTGGGGGACACAAACATTAAGATTCTACAGAAACGTTAGGCTTAAATTTCATATTTCAAGAATTTAACTGTTAATTAAAATGTATTGTGTGTGCACGTAGATACGCACATCCAAGGAAACACAGTGAAACTTTTCCTCTAAGAGTTTCCATGTTGCTAAATTAGATAAGCCTTTCTTTACCAAGGCATTCACATTTATTTAAAGGTGTTACTGTCTGAAATGCACCTGGAAATATATTTCTCCATCCTGATACAACATATTCCGTAGAAATTGCTGTTTGTAGCATTGACATTTCATCTGCTGAATGCTTGATAGAGATTTAATTCAAATGGGGATTTACAATTACTCCTTTCTGCTTTAATAGAATTATCATTAGCATTGCATATTAAACTATGTGGGAAAGGAGCTGATAACCCTACTCTGCTCAACTAAAACAGTACTTGAAAGTACTTCTATACCTCTGAGTAATCTTTTCTTTATGTGTACAGTTGTCAGTTAAAGATATATGTATACTAGAAAGTATGCATTAAAAGAATTACAAAGTCAAGCTAATGTAAAACTAGAGTTGATCAAAAATGAACCAAAAAAGTGTACCTTTTTGAGTCCAGACATTGCTAAATGTTTTGATGAATTCTAGATTAAATCCATACAGACTTGATCTACAGCCCATAATCTCAGTCTTTCCACATCTCAGTGGGCTTTAATCAAGCCCTTTCTTCCTAAATATAAAAACATCCTCTATATTTCAGAGCTCTTCATTTTGCTGATTTATAATAGATTACTCAGGGTATCATGTGGAGCTCTCTGGGAGTATATTAAGTTCCTGTAAAATCTAGTCTTTCCCCTTTTTGTTATACTGTAATAGCAGAAATAAAAATAATACCTTTTCAGATCAATGTCTTACTTTGGGTTATTGCAGTGTCTCTCTCGATACGTTACTCCACCTCCACAGGTCCGAGAACACTCTGACCACTCAGACCAAGCAGACCACTGGCCATTAATAGGCTTGGGTCCATGATCTCCATATTTGACACACTGACCTCTTCGACACCACTGTCAAAAGAATGTCAACAATTGTCCCGTCACATGTCCTGTGGTACCTGCTAGACTGTTGAGAAGACCTAGATGCCAGTCCTGCAAACTCCTGTGAAAGTACTTAACTCCTAAAGTTTTTCGTTCTGTTCAACAAAATCGGACAATTGCAGAAGTGGCAGTAGAGTGAGGCCCTGGTAAGTAAAAGATAAACACGAGCAATGTCCCAATTAAGGCCTTGACATTTGTCCATGCCTTAAATCTTGGAGGACCAAGTTGCCTCAGTTTTAAACCCCACTCCAGATATACCAGGCCTGATTTTCAGAAATGCTGAGCACTAAAAATTCCAGATCAAGTTAAGATGTCCTCTTGGTGCCCAGCATCCCTAAATCAAGTCTGTGGCATTTAAAACTGAGGGTCTAAATAGTTTCCTTCTCTCTTAATTTACTCATATTGTAATGAAAGGGAAGGCAAAATGGAGAAAAAAATACTCCCATGTGGCAAAAAACACATATCAAGGTCTTGGAAATTAAAACAGTATATTTTATAAGTAACATGTTACAGTAAAATAAAATATTCAAAATTGAATTGAATGTCCCAATTGTAGCCTCTATAGTTTTTCACGTGTATTTAGAGAGTTATAGTAAGGCAAATGATCCTGTCTTTCCGCACCATGATCAATAAAGCTAATACAGACATGCAAAGACACCTAGCCAAATTCATTCCAGGAATAAGCAACAGTCAGATAGGAGCTGCTTATGCTTCCTCTGAATTTGCAAACTTTTTCTGACACCTGAAATCAATGGATTTTCCCAGTGACTTTAACGGGAGCTGAATCCACTTTGTTTTCATTTATTTTGGACTAGCATCACTCCACAAATGAAATGACTCACCATACTTATGCCACAAGCTGTCCCTTCTGCTGCAGGCATGAACTTTGTCTCACATCTGTGACCTACTTTATGACACCAGAGTGATTTGCATATATCCTAGAAAAAAATAGAGAATTTCCCTATTATTACCTGATACCTAGAAAAGTATTAATGACTCTGCTATTGCCTTTCCTAGTGCAAAAGTCCTGTAAAACCAATCATTTCCTGAATAAAGATGCTCTAGGCCCAAGCTTCATGGTATAGTTATACATGCTGGTCTACTGTCCTCAAGATTGCTACCTTGTTTTTCCTATTTGATTTCCTTTGCATTTTTTTAATGTCTTTTGAAAGTGAGATTATAAAAGAACTAACCAGCTCTTACAACATCAAGGACTGAATAGGAAACAGTCTACTGGGTTTCTAAGACTGTGGAGGGCCTCCATTTGCTGAAACACACATATTATGTTTGGAATGACAGCCTCATCCTTGCACTGTTTTGCCCTACTTCTTAGTTTATTAGCTGTGAAATAAAAATAATTGTCATTGCCTAGTAAAATCCTGGTTAGTGTGAAAGAAGTCAACATATATAGTAGTAGTAACTGAAACAAAAACACTTATATTCAGAATCACGGTACAGTGTTTTTGAAAGAACAGCTTTCCAGGAAGTCAATGGGGCGGGTATTGCTCACTCTATGTAACTACATCCTACATCAAAAAGTGAAGGACATCAAAATACATTATCTCTGCTCTGAAGTAATCCTTCAGTGCAGGGTTAGATTGTTCCAAGCCTTTGTGCAAGTACATAAGAGTAAAAGAAGCCACAAGAGCTCTTCCCTTTCTTTCACCCACTGGACAGGGTCTGATCAAAAGTGCAATGCTTCCTAGTTTTGCTGAGGCTGATAGTCATTACAACCTGGCAGAGGAGAGAGGAGTGCCTAGCAGAATCTGAGTGGATAGTACAGCTTGTGCAGTGGAAAGTACAGTGCATCTGTACTGAATATAGTTCCTGGTCAGTTTTTTCAACTCAGAAGCACAGTCCTTTTATGACATTCCCCCAGCAGAGGCAGAGTGTCAAGCAATGTAAAGGTGAGAACTACTCCAGATCCCATAGTTCATTGTACTACTTGGTCTAATTCCTAGTGCACTGCAGTTGTCTAATGTAAGTTGTCATATTGTGATAAAGATATTAATAGGTACCTTCACAAAACTGAGGTTGCACAGTTTTGCTTTCGTTCCAAATTGCCATTTGCACTGGGTATCAGCATCATAGATCTGCCCTGGCAGTTTATCAGGGTATTTATACTGTCCTGTTTGCTTAGGTTCATCAATCAGGCAAGCAGCTTGAGCTGTACTATAATGAGAATGTATATTTATTAATCAGGATGTTGATCTTTCTATCAAAATATTTTCTTTGCTACAGAATAGCAAAAACACATGGTTTCGTACAGCATACCTTTAACTAGCTTTATAGGCATGCCCTGGAATGAGATATCTGCTGCACGAGCCAAAAGCCCTTGGTTTCTTGTTGGTAGCCTGACCTGCAAAATCTTAGGAAGCAAGAATCCAGGCTCTGGGATTATTGGGCAAACAGAAATGAACTGTATTCATTTCCTTTCTCTCTTCCTTATTGGAGTGTAACCAAGTACAAGGAGATCTGGTCTGTTCCTTTCCCCTAGACTACGCTTCCCAGAAGCAGGATAGAAGAACTTATGCAGAATCAGCATGTGAAGTGTCTTATTTCTGTATTTGTTTCATGTGGAAAGATAAACAGGCCACTGATTTATAGCTGAGACCAGTAAGTGGGGCACATCTTAAGACCAAAATGTCATGTCATGGTTCATCATGATCCCTCATTTTATGCTTGGGTTCATGTGTGTGAAAGTTCAGTCAATCTAAGATCAGCCTTCCATCTGTTTGTCTGTTGCCCGATGCCAAATATTTGAACACTCCTCACTGGCTTAGTAATTTTCTCATGTGCTTACAGCAACATGGAGCACGGTAGCAGACAAGAATCACCCAAAACTTCTCTTTCTTGTTCTCTACTCTGGTACGATAATTTGCTCTGCAAGTATTCACTTATATAGTTACAGCAAATAATGCATATTAATGGCATTATGGGGCTGACATCATAAAAGTGCAAGTATATGTTGAAGACATTGAAATTCTGATGGCACTACATAGGCTGCTTTTTAACAGCGTCCTTAGTTTGTACCAACATCTTAGGGGAAATAATAAGATATCATGTTTCCCAGCAACTATATAAGGGAATATAAAATGTGCTTATTCATGGCATGGACTAGAACAGGAGAGTATTCATTTACATTTTATTTGTAATTGTTTGATACACTGACTACCTCCTTTTGTGCCCTCTTCCCACTAATATTCTTTTAAAAAGTAGACACTGAGGACAATGTTTGTGAGGAAAATTGCAATTCAGGTGAATACTATGGTACATTGATGGAGGCTGAAGAAATCCAGCACAAAGACCTGTATATAGCACCGTTTACAACCCTCAGAAGTCCAAGATTTGGGGTTCAGTCAAGAGGGCACACCAGAAAACCATTTCTAGGAGTTATCGCTGACCTACCTGAGAAATTTGTTGAGGTACTGCCTGCTGCATACAGACCAAGAAAAGACTCCATTGTTTCCTGTGAGCGTGGGTGACATGATATTCCCTTCAGCTTTTCTACAGGGATTCCCTTCTCCATCGTGAATCATACCAAAGCTGAAACAAAAACCATAAATGACACAGCTAGCTAAAATCAAAACACATCAGAAAGAAGAGACAGCTTTCTGGAGAAATACACTGCTGTTTTATGGCAGTAACTCTATAAACAAAAGCTCCACAAAGGGATGAGACCACAGGCAAGCTTGAAACAAGCCCCGCTTCATAGTAAGTGCCCTTCTTTGGTCATTTAATACACTGAGCATAGAGATGAATTGCCAGGGAGACCTAGTTTGGTGAGAGACAGGGTCTCTAAATCATAAGTCAAAGCTAGGTTTAAAGTACATGAGCACTACAGCCTTGACCAACTTGGTGTGTTTTATAAGATTATCTTTCCCTCAGTTTGCTTGCCTGTTGCATCAAGTATTGCTAATAAAACAGTTACCATTCATTTGGTGCCCCATGTGAAATAAGTTGGTGGGTGCATTGCAGTGGCAGAGTACTTTTCTCCTCAAATGAAACAAGACCAGTAAACACAGAGGTACTTATTTACAGTTATCACAGCAGTAGCGAAGAATTGACCTTTCTCTTCATTAGCAATAGCCCCTCCAGGAAAGAAATGCTAGGGACGTGTGTCACCTATCCTGGAGGTTTTCAAGAAGAGACTGGACAGTCACCTCGCTGGGGTCACTTGACCCCAGTTGTCTTCCTGCCTAGAGCGGGGGGGCTGGACCCGATGATCTGCAGGGTCCCTTCCAGCCCCTAACGATCTATGAATCTATGGAAAAATACTACCATGCCACTGTCTCATTCTTCAGACTGGGTATGTTTTGTGGGTATAAATAGATACCACTATCTTGCAGTACCCTGACCCAATGGGCAAATTATAAGCATATGCACTCCAAAAAACAGTTCTTTGCCTTCGTGATGGTAGTTGCTTTACTGTTATTCACAGGTGTCTTTCGTGACTTACTTTTTATATAATTATTTTTATCGAAGACTGTTTACAGTAGCAAAATGAAACAATTCCTCCATTGTAATTATGGCCAGATTAGAGGACTGTTCAGCTGTATCATAACTCTGAACTCACTGAAGTCAATGGGAACGTTCAAATCCTATTTCTCCTTATGTATATATATTGTTCTTCCTTCCCTCCATATGTTGCTTCTCTTCGTCACCTGCTAGGGATTTGGGGTGGGAATTGTCATATGCTCAGAGTACTTAGCATATTGTGGGTAAAACTGGAGCATAGATGATAATGTGTGATACAATTAATAATATGATCTAATTAGTCCTGCTGCCCATGCTCCCTGTTCTCATCACAACTCAGCACCATTTGTCTCAAACGTTGAGAATCAAAACCATTTCCACTTCATCGTGCATTATGACACCATCTGCATTCTCAATTACAACCGGATTTCCATTCTGTGTCACTGGGAGGGAGGCATTCGTGCCACACTTTTCAGTTCAGGAGCTTTTTCATTTCTGTCATTGTAAATAATACCCCCTTGTGACTGAATGATTCTCATACAGTGATTCATCAACACAGGGAACTTTTCATTAATGGATTACCAGTGAAGATCAAGCCTGTCTGACTACATGACAGCATAGTCTCCTCCCTAATTATTTCAAGCAGATTAATCTAGCTTTATACTCTTTAGCCTTCTGAATGTTCTTAGTACCATGAAAATAAAGATCAGCTAACCTGAATGATGGGTGGTACTTGGGCATGACCCATTAAAATGTCACAAAGAAAATTATTATCTCTCTCTTTGATGTCAGTATACAAGGCCGATGAAGCTTTCATGACATTAGCATTGCTTCTATCATTATAATTTGGAATAGAGCAGCAGTACCTTACAATACTCACAGCCCATTGCAAATACTAAGCCATATACATACCTGGCATAGGCAGAGAATTTCTAATGTGAGTGCTAGTGATGAATGTAAACCTTCCTCTAAATTATAATTGTCCAGGATAAATACACCTATACTTGAATGCAATCTTGGCCACAATGAATGAAGTGCCATTAACTTCCAGAAGACAGGATTGTATAGCCCATGGAATTTTCAACAGGTTTTTAACTTGTATGTCTGTGAAAAATAATTGTATTTATAAAGAATCTTCTTCCCACGCTAATTTGGTAGTGCTTGTGAGTGGTGTTCCAAAAACACATTCAAACTATAGACCATCAGGCTACGCAGATAGTGGCTAAATACAGACAGTCAAAAAGCCCAAGACTGAATCAATTCAATCTTTGCAGGTTAATCTAAGCTGTGGAGGTTGAGCCGATAAGCAAGTGAACAGAAATTCACTTTTGATTCCAGAAATGCAGCCACATGCCTGCAGTGGCCTAGGCCAGAAGCCGGGAGATGCTAGAGCAGGCCTCCCTGCTTAGCTGGAGTAGACAGCTTGGGCCAAGGGTAGCCTGCCCACCAAGGAAGGGTTGGCAGGGCAGATGCAAAGCATCCTGGGATGTGGGGGAACTGAGTTAACTTGAATCTCGAGGAGATCTGGGACAGAAGTTCAATAAATCAATTTAACCTAAAGCAGTTAAGTGTGATATGACATCCATCCATGTTTCTCTTAAGCTGGTTTTGGCCAGTTTGAAAATGGTTTATGTGCACTGAACTTCTGTTGTGTTACTGTTCACTTGTACCGGTTTATGTATAATTTCTGCCCCTAGCCAGTATGTTCTAGGGAACAAAACAGTGGGTCAGCACTAAGAGATCTGATTCTGCAGCTGAAGAAGTCTTTGCAAGTCATTTCCCTTTACTGTATCCAGCAAGCTTTACATGCCCTGTTGGGGCTACAAACTCTCTGGTGAAGGTACCACTTCTGATATAGTCTCTATTACAATATAGCCTTGAACTCAGTAGGGTACATGCTACATAATATACTTTATACCATAACATAAATAATGTGCAGCAACAATAAAAACCCACATTAAAACATTGAATGATGTGGAATTTATGGCTATACAACAGTTAAGTTTCAGATCTTTTTTTGTTTTACTGCTTTATATTTATTTTATATACTGTACATCTGTGAATTTTGGCGTGTTTTGAATAGGCATTTCACAATCTGTTACTTCAACACTGGGGTAAACTGGCGGCTTTGAGCATGTAATGAGTATGTGTATGCAGGGACTAGCTAATTTATTGGGCTTGATCCTTAGCTGTTGTAAATCAGGGCAGGCCCATCAAAGGCACTACATTGATTGCCACCCGCTAACCCTACTGAGAAATATGGTTCCCTCTACAAGTGGACAACATTTCTAACCCAGCAGATATTTTATTGTCTTTTCAGGACACACAGTTAGTTCATGCACTTCATAGCCAAAGAATCTACAGATTTAATGTTCAGTGACACAACAGACCATGAACTCCCCAAGGAACTATTAAACTCTCAGGCAAAAACATGAACTATTTAAAGAAGGCTGTAAAAATGTATAACAATAGCAGGCACTCTAAAGGAGCTAGTATGATCTACCTAGCATGTAATATATACCTAGGATGCGTCTATATGTGCGCATTTTCTGTTCAGTAACCAAAATTACTGTGCAGTACAGGCACGTGTCCACACATGCACACCCGTACTGCACAGTAAACATGGTGACTTATACCAGCTTGACTATAAATGTGATACCTGCTGTTAGACCCCAACTCCATGCGGCACCCAACAACTAGGGAGATGACAATCCAATTGCCCATGGATCCCGTTACTCATTAGCCAGAGCAAGCAGGGAGCAAACACCAGCACACATCGCTTGCAACAGCTTTATTCAGAATGGAGACAGCTTCGGGCAAACTCCCTCACAGACACACAGCCCGTAAAACCAGGGGAGCAGCAACGAACAATAGTTTTTTCCCACATTTATACATTTTGGTTTATACTCATTAACATTCATTCCACCTCTGTCCCTCCTTCTGTTCTACCCATTTCTCCTCCCATCTCAAGCTTTGCCTCTGTTTACTTTTTGCTTCATTAGCATGGAATTGCCTATGCATCACATTCATTTACATGGTTTTTTTTCTATGAGCGCATGTCTAAGACCTTTCGGTCAATGGGCGGACTTTGACCAAAACCTGGAATCTTCCGGAGGCTTCTTCACCAATCACCATTCACCTTTTCATATATGTTCATCTCGGATTCTGTTACCAATTATGTGTTGTTTTTCACATTCCAGTCTGTTTTTTAGTTTCAGGTTGTACCATCTTCCACATTCCTAAAACATCACCTCATTCACAGTGCACAGACTCGCACAGACTTACTTGCTGCTTTTTCCTCAGAAAATGGTTGACACAGTTAATATGGTTACTTAGCATAAGCAAATGGCTGGCTTAGATATCATTCTGCCTTGTGGTTAGCAACTTTGCTAGGCCACAGGTCATGCCTTTTTATCCAGCTGCAAATCCAGTGCTCCCCAAGATCCAAATATTGTCACCCTAACACTTACATCATGCAGGTATCAAATTTATGCCCAATTAGTTACTGCACAGTACCGCATGTGTAGAAGCCTTACTGCGTAATAACAGTGTGTGTATGGACTGACTTGGGACTAACTTTAGTCCCAAGTCAGTCCACACACACGGTTAATGTACTTTAATGCCTGCACATGTAGACACCAGCCTATTCCTGCTTAATGAGCAGTAATTTAGTGGGCAGTCAATTTAAGCCAGTGTAAATGCACGTGTAGACATGCCCCTTTTGTAAAATCCTTAGTTTAGTATACTTCAGAGTAGACCATGGCAACTCCAAAGCTCTCTCATCAGTTCATGAGAAAGACACACCAATGCCTTAATGTGTCCATAATTATACTGAGGATCATTAGAGATCAGCAAAACTATAGGTTTCAGACAGAATCTTTTCCAAAGTTTGTACTTGGATTGCTATAGAAATAGGAGGAAAATTGATGTCCAAGATACAAGTCTAATTTTTCCCTAAACTTCAAAGGGATTAAGAGGAAATTTGGTCAAATCAAGCATTACTTAGAAAGACACTGGATATTTGCACATTGGACTGTGACAACCCCAGTAAACAGACTTTGGCCTGTAAGGTGAGCAACACTTTACAATGCCATCTATGTTCATAAATGTCTATAAGAGATTCTTGTTCCTGCTTTCACTTGTACTTGAAATCTGCACTTGAAATCATGTTAAAATAAACAGAGGTTCTGACTTTAAACCATTGTTGCTGGGAAACATCGGCGCAGATCCTCAGCTCTTCGGCCTTTGCATTACTCTAATGGTACAAAGTGCCTCTAAAGCATATAAATCCAGTTGTAGGAGTATTCTTCCTGCATCAGCTGACAGAAGACAGGGAAATTGTACCATATGGAAAAAAGCAGATTCTGTTCTTTCTTACACCTCATTCAACCTCCTTTCTTGGAATGAGATAGGCCATTAGTTTGCAGCTTTACAAGATCTGGGTAATGCAGCCCCAAGAGCCCCATATGTGGAACAAATCTCACTACACTTTTTCACATATAAATGCTTTTTTATAACTGTGAATCACCATTCCTCAAATACAAACCTATAAAGTATTCCTAGAACTCTTAATTCAACGATCAGTAGAATCCTTGGTTTTAAAAAAAACAGTTACTCCATTGCCTCAGGTCACAGCTATGATGAAATCTCCTTTTTGTTTCAAACATAAATTCCCACATATTATTACTACGGGATTGTTCATAATGTTACTAGACAATACTTGTATAGAGTGTCTGCTTCCAGGCTTCTAAAGGTCGTTGATCCCAAATTCTATCTCCTGCCATACAAAGCTGTGCCAGGAACATGAGCTCAGACAAATGGCAATACAGGAAATGTTCTACCTGTTGCTGCAGAGTGAAAATGGCAATATTTCAAAGATGGTGCATTTATTTAGTCTGTAAGGACTTTCTTCCCTTCGGGAGGCAGAAATATAGAAGGAACCCAAAGAGAGGCTGATGAAAATAAGAAGGATCAAAGAACAATAGAGAAGCAGCCCAAAATGTAAAAGAAAAAAAAGAAATGAGAAGGAAGAACAATTTAGAGACTAAAGCAAGTATTTCTGGAATTAAATGGTATGGACCCAATTCTCCCTAATACCGGTTTATAGCATTAATAAATCTACTGAAGTTAATGGAGTTTCCCTGAATCAGTCCCTACATATTTTATCTACATAGCCCTACTGAAATGACAGGCACAACTCCCATTAACTTCATTAGTCACCAGTTTATTCCCCAATTCCTTGTTTCCCTTCAGATGCACAGAATCCTGTGAAAGGGCCACTCATGCAGACATTAGGTCATAGTGTTCATTATACATTATATTTATACAAAGAAAACTACATAGCCCTCCAGTCATGCAGAATCAGAGGGATTCAGCCAATGACTGCAGCACAATGCAGTAGTGATGCCCTTGACAAAGTTCCTTTGCACAGGAATATTACTCTACAAATTATTTTCTTCTGTGTTTTACCTTATTTTCATAAAGATTCTGGAACAAAGAAACTGGATTTAAGGCCTGGCTTGGTATTACCAAGCCATTAATCATGCTCTGATATCATGGGATCTCTAGGCCACAATATTGGCTATGTTTCTATTGTGAGAAATAATTCACACAATAGATAATAATTCACACAATTCATATTGTGAGAAAGTTTTAAGGACTCAACTTAAAACTCAAGATCAAGAAATGCAGAAGGAGAAGTTTTGAGAAAAAAAGAGCGAAACAACATGAAAGAAACCCATAAAATCTAATCAGATTCCTTAGCTTCAAGCCAGTATCCTAAGGTCATATCTTAGAGAACTGATAATCTAAATTAGACTCCTACTGTGAGCAGAAGACCAGCAATCCTTAGAAGATCTCATACATTTCATAGACATTAGGGCTGGAAGGGACCTCGGAAGATCATTGAGTCCAGCCCCCCGCCCAAAGGGCAGGAAGTCAGCTGGAGTCATAGGATCCCAGCAAGATAAGCATCCAATTTGCTCTTGAAGGTGTTCCATGTAGGTGCTTGAACCAGCTCCGATGGCAGGCTGTTCCAGACCTTGGGGGCTCGGACAGTAAAGAAATTCTTCCTTATGTCCAGCCTGAAACGGTCTTGCAGTAGTTTATAACCATCCAACCTCATCATCCCTTGGGGCACTCTGGTGAACAAACATTCCCCCAGATACTGGTGGTCACTCCTGATAAACTTATAGGTGGCCATCAGATCACCCCTGAGCCTGTGCTTTTCCAAGCTAAAAAACCCCATGGCTCTCAGCCTGTCATTGTAAGGTCAAAAAATAGGAAGAATTGCTACCCTAGAAAAATAGGAAGAATAGGAAGAATTGCTACCCTAGAAATCAAGCCCAATGGAAGTGGAATATGAGGTAGTAACAAGTGGCCAAAGTCTCTTGAAAGTTTGCCATCCATCAGCCCATCCTAATGGTGGGGTGGGATTGATGTAGGATTGGATAAAGGATGGGGTAGGAAAAAGTTGGATGACAGGGAACTGGCCCATAAACCTGAAGAGACTACCAAGTAACATAGAGGGGCTACCTCTCCTTAGGGTTCACTGTTGTGCTCCTATCTCCCACTGTAAGGACTGGTCTAACCCCAGGCAGTCAACTCTACACAATACGACCAACATTTGGGATTGCTGGGGAATTGTAGGCTACAGCTGACAAAGTCATAATGGCTTCAGCCAGGATTTTTTTTAGTTCTGATATCCACAGCTTTAGGAAAAAACACCAAGGAAAGCAGCTCCAGCACCTCAGGCTCCAAGACATATCCCCCATATGCTATGAAGCCCTCTTCAGCAAAGGAGCACATGAATGGTCCAAAGAGGGAAGGACTATGGGTGGTGTGACACTGGTTCCCTAAGTATGGATTTATTTTCTGTGGTCCCTAGATATTGAAATCTGCCAGTGTTGCGTCTCTTCCAGTTGTATCTGCAGAACGTATGATCATGACTTAACAGTTCTAACAGTCCCATGTTCTAAAAAGTAGACCTGTCTCCATAAATGATCTATTTTTTTAGTCAGGCATCAGTTGATTGTAGTACTTTTATCACGCCATTTAGTGTGTATATTTCCTTATACAAGAAGCTGAGGGAAAATTCATGAGAAATAGCTTACTTGTGTCCAGATTCGTGGGCAATAGTAAATGCCAAACCCAGACCTGTATCTTCATTGATGGTGCAGCTACGATATTTACTACACATGCCACTAATAGGTGCAAATCCTGGAGGGGAAAAAAGATGGAAGCAGTGTTATTCTACACATTTATCATTTGAATTGAACAGTAAAGATTTAAGCTAGTACAGCATAGGTACATGGCAAAGGTTCACTGCAAGATAAGTTTGGCACCTTTTGGCAGACCTCATTTTGACATGAAGGGGAATCCTGTGTTGGGAAATACATGTACCCACACACACAGGACCAAAACAAGCAAAAATGAACTTTTCAGTTGTTGGCCTGCAGAAGTTCTAATACGGGCTCATTTTTTGCTTATCTGACATACCAGCTATGGCATTTGGGAAAACTAGAAGCCACCATTACCTGAAATATGCATAAAAGATGTTGTGGGGCCCAGAGACATTTTCAAATTTTAAGACAATATCAGAGAGGGAGAAAACTCCCTGAATGGAGCAGTGATCCAAATATTTTCAGAAGGCTTCTTTGGTGTTCTTTTGTTGGGGCTAAACTATGGGTAATTTGGGGGTTTTTTTCTTTTAGTTAGATTTTTTTTTTTTTAAATTTGATAGTTTTTTAGTTAGAAACAAAATCCTAGCAATGGAAGGCTACTCTATACATTTGTGTCATTAACCACAATACTCAGAGCTCTTTCTTAAGCTGTTGGCAGCAGACATTTAGAAGTGTATCAAAGCACATTTTCTACCATACCTAAAGTGTCACAGGGTTCATTTTTCCAAGAACAGATATCAAATCCTGTCAGCAAGATGGCATGGTCATGGCGTCTTCCATTCTTCCCAACCAAAGCAGACTGCCACTGACAAAAGCTGTTTAATGATTGGTCTGCATGATGGCTGATCATTAATCCACCCTGCAGATATCATGGAGAGAAGTAAGTCCACCAGTCCTTGAGAAAGGTGACAGAAGGAAAAAGAGTTCACGTAGGGGTGTGGCAAAGGGCGTTATATTTAGTATATTTAGTCAGGTATCTAGGAATTCGTAAGTCAGGTGACTTTCGAATCAATGTCTCAAATATTTTCATTCATTATTATAAAATGGAATACAGGCATCGTGATGGGGAGATTCTCAAGGACAGAGGTGGAAATCAGTCACCCGGTTCCCACTGATTTTTATTAGGATCTGAGCATCTAAGAAAGTCTCTGGAAGCTGACCCCACCCCCGCAGCATTCATATAGCAAAAGGTACTTTATAATCCTTTTTAACTTAAATTGCAATATGGATGATTTCAGGACTCAGCTTTCCCTTCTGGAAAGCATTTCACTTCTAAACTTGAACACGTGCAGTTTTCAGAGAAACAGACACAAGTGCCTTTATTTCTCCTGATTTGCTTTTCATCATGACAATACACTATGGATGCAAGAACTACAGAAGGCAGCAGCTCTTATAAACACCACTTGAGGGGTTTAGAGTGATCATGTGAAAAACCGCAGCTGCTCTGTTTCAAACAGCAGTGTTGAGCTAGGACTACAGAACATCTTGGTATTTTTTAATATAAAGGACACTAATAAAGCGGGGCTTGATTCTGATGTGCACATGGGCTGATATCAATACAGGAACCAGAAAACTCATAAGAAACCACAAGTCTAGATATGTTGTGTTGACTTAAATACTAAATGATTTAAAGCAGATGAACCAATGCACAACTTTAGAGTTACTTGAACACGTCCCATCATTTTTTTCATGGAAAATAGGGTTCTGGACTGGAGTGACTGTTATATTAAGTGGTTTTGTGTTTTGTTTTGTTTTTCTTTTGTGTCAGTTGCTTGGGTTTTTTTCTTTTTATCATAAAAAACTATAAGTCTGGGAACTAAATATTTTGGGCTGGTTGTCAAAAAAAAACAAAACAGATAATTTGTTGTTGTTCTCTGGCTGAAAATAGAAGATGTGATTAAACCAGAAATCCACAACATTTTTGGTCAGAGTGCCAAAAACTTCTGCAACTTGTAGGATGTTGGCATGCTTGGGGCAGATGGCAGAGGAGCCACGTGGTGCCCAATCCTTGTTGTGGTAGTGCAGCCCTGCACCCTTCACCATGGCATATGTGCCAAGCAAAATGCCTTTGCATGCATCAGGCATTACCTACCTCTGGTTTAAGCCTTTTGAGCACAAGTTTCTCATCCTATCACAAAAGTCAATAGCTGCTTTCACTCTTGCTCTAACTGATACCTCCCCAAACACATATACTTTTTCCCTAGAAAATAAATATATAGTTTCAGTTCTGAACTCTCCAAAGGTGTTTCCTTCAGTGTAGGGCCTTTCAACTCCCTGCTATCTTCCACTAGCATCCCAGAAGCCAGTCCCCAGAACATGTCCGTTCTGGAGCTGCCAGCAATTTTTTTAAAACACTCATTATGTACGATCACTTTAGTATATAGGGTCTTCATAAAGTCCTTGTACACAGCCTTAGTTATTACAGTTTAAAAGTGCACAGGGGCTTTACGAAGACCCTGTACGAGAAAATATTGAAAGTGATTAGTTTTTATCTCTATTGCAGAAATTCAAAGTTTAAAGGGAGTTTGAATCAACTGCTGAATCTATTATATATAATATTTACCAACATTTTATATATATTTTATATGTATACACACACATCTACGTCTACACACACATATGTGTATATGTAAAATGTATGCATGGAGAGAGAAAAACTGTGATTCTGAGAGCTCTGGTGATGACATGGCATTTCAAGGTTGGGTCTTCTGAGGTCATAAGAAGCCCTTCATGGACATTTTTTTGTACAATACAGAAAAATCCAGAAATGTTTGCAAACTAGATCAAATACATTCTGCTACATAAGAATAATGATTCCACTTACAGGTTCTTGTTCCAAAAGGAGGAGACTGACAACAATGATGTTTATGTCACTTCCAATTGTTCCATCTTTAAAAAGGCTAGAAACCTGTGTGATTATTGGGAGGGAAAGGAGGAATATCAAGTAAGTAAGAAAGAAATGTTTAATACGAGTAAACTATTTATTATCCTTTTAGGCTCCAGGCTTCAATGAGAATCAACAGGGCGACTCCACCCGTGTCAGGACTGGATCCCACACACACCGATCCAGCCAAAATGAGGACTGGGCCTGACACTATGTCTATTGAAATTAACGGAAACTTTCCAAATGACTTCACTGCGATTTGGATCGGGCCTCCTTTCTGCACCTGTGGGCTTGGGACAGATATTACACATAAACCGGTTTAAGTGATCAGAAACTGGTTTAAAGCTATAACAGGACAGATGTTCAATGCACATAAACCAGTTTGAAAATAGCTGAAACTGGTTTCAGAGAAACCTGGTTGAATGCAGTATCAGACTTAACTGATTTGGCTCAAATCGGTTTATGCAATGCCTGTCCCAGACACCTTGCTGGTGTAAGTTACACCAGACTCCCCCAGCATCCCAGCATGCTCTCTGGGCTGGGCAGGGCTGGGCAGGGCTCTCTGCTCCACAGCAGGGCTGGCCCCTCCCCTCTGCTCCCTGGCTGCAGCTCAGCAGAGACTGAAGGCATCTGCGTGCTCCCCCCTCCCCTCTTCATACCCTTTGCCTTGCAGGCATCTCTCAGCATTAGCTAGCAGACCACTTTCTGGCCATGGCCCATGCTGCGGCAGATGGGACAAAGGGAGAATCAACAGGTAGCTGGTAATTTCCCTCTGTTTTCTTAAAAGGGAGATAAACACTGAGTTAGGGGTGATAAACACTGTGTTATCAATTCCCTGCTGGGCTGGTTAGGAGGCAGGGAACCCCTCCTTAATCAGAGCATCCTGCTGGGGGCCTGGCCACACCCCCCTTACCTCAGCACTGGAAAGGAAGGGAGGGCTGCTCTAGTGCCCCCGGCTTCTAGCCTGAACCACTGCAGGCATGTGCCTGCATGTCTGGGATTTCTGTGCAGTTACAAACTGATTTAGCCTAGCCAGGTTAGACTAACCTGCAAAGATTGAATCAATTCAGGTTCAGGCTTTTTGAATATCTGTCCGGAGCCCTGCTGGATTACAGCCAAAGCAGTTATTGGGCTAAATCAATTTAAAGTTGGGATTTGCATATCAAGAAGAGGTAACACAACACATCAACAGAGCATAAAGTTTCAAGCTCTGTATCTGCCTTTCCCCATAAAAATAAGGTACAGGAAACTAGTCCTTGGTGCAGTAGGTGAAGAGAAGATAAATAAAGCTTTTACTGTGTAATACCACTTCTCTCCTGAAAAAAGGTTGCCAGACTTTGATCATTTAGGACATGATTCTCATGCAGTTTATGCACCTATACAAGGAAGTAAGTGGGAACAGAGCCCATTTTGACTGCCCAACTCAGATTGCGACTCCAGTAGAGTAGGGACCTCTTCAGGCAAGCAAGTGAGGAACAGAAGAAATGTGGGGAACTCTGGGGCTACCCCAGCTACAAGTAGCTATGGAATTACCTCCCCTTCTCTTTCCAGGGACAGTGCACATTAAGGCAGGAATTATGATATCCATAATAGTGTGCGCACATGCAATCTTTATGCACAGCATCCTACAGAATGATCATATGGCTCTTAGGAACATGTCATGTAATACACCTAATGCCAAGAAAAATGTTAGCAAAATTAAGGGGAGAAAAATCAGAATCAATGTAAGTGCCAATGCTACCAACACTGAAAAACAGAAGACGTTTCTGGACGAGTGCATACTGGACATGCAAAACTATTTACTATTGTCAGTCTCATGATTTTATCATGACTCATATTCTTTAGTATTTTTTTTTATAGATGGCCAACAATAATTGATACTGTTGATGTTGGTAATACTGGAATTTCACATACATCCATGCAAAAAGAACTTGAGGTATCCATACGTGCAGTTTGCTTGCTCATGCCTACACAAGAAACAGCTTTCAATGGTACATATCTTGCACCCTGACAATAAACGGTATTCATTTCACTCATGCCAGCTCTTACCATGTTCATAACTGTTAAGATGTACGTGGTTACATTTTCCTTTCCATGCTTCTCCAGCATTTTTTTATCAGCCACAACAAGGGTTTCAACACTGAGACTTCTGCTTTTCTGGATTTTAACAGACGATCTTTTGAACCTTGCAAAACTACCATACTCATCGGAGAAAATGTACCTATCTGCTGTGGGTGGTTTAGGTGCATCTAAAAAGAAATCAAACACAGTTTTGGACATGTTTAGAAGAGACCATTTTCATAAGCAGACTAGCTAGACCATAAAGTGCCATGGGGACTAGGACCCTGAATGATTTTATAGTGTTGTGCCAGTGCCGGATACTAACTGATATGGGCTGTTAGATAATGTGTTGTTCTACCCATTATTAAGTAAGACTTGATTCATTCTTCTTTAGGAAAAACTGAATTCAATAAGCAATTAAGAGGGAACAGTTATGAATTTCATATGCTGCCGAGGGAATACTTAGAGTTTCTGGTGACCAGTTACATTCTTTTTGTGCATCCTGCCACCTTACTAAGCACTGCTGTATCTGCTGCTTACCTATTGTATGGTCATACTCTTCCTCCCTCAATAAACATACGGAATTAAGATATTCTGGAAAGACGAGAGATGCTGCTTGTCCACATTTTGTTTGGCAGTAGCCTCCACAATGCTTATTTCTGCTTGGAGTATAATTACTCAGTGTAGGATGAGGGTAGGAAATAGTAGCCAAACTTACGTCAGGAGTACATGTGCTTATATTTCCTGTTCAATGAAGTTTATTGTCCCTTCTGCTTGCACAGAATGGATTCTTTCTGGGGTCTCAGGAACTCAAGGCAGAGAAATTTTACTTCATAATTCCTCCTCTTTTCACAGCTTTTCAGCCCATGGAAAGTAGAATTAGGCCCATGGTCACTATGTTAAGACCCTAGTCTTCAGAGGCAGGTTCAAGATGAGACCTTCTCGAACCTGGATAAGTTGGACTGAGTGGAAGTTGGACTGAGCACTGGGAGTGGGCAGCAGTGGTGTGCTGGGCAGTGGCAGGGATGCTGCTGCTACTACCAGGCCAGCAGTGGCACCTGCAGGTTTTGCACCCCTCAGCTTGGTGCCTGGGGCTGGATTTCCACTTGTCCTCCATTTAGTTTCACTACTGAGAGCTGTGGTCTGCAGGCTTCAGAGCTTCTGGTGGTTAGGCTTAGGGGTTTGCGAAATGGGGCCTATTTGATTCAGATTCGGATTCAGCCTGAATCAGGGACAGTGATTTGATTCATTGATTCGGATCACTGTCCCCAATTCGATTCGGCCAAATCTGAATCTGAAGAGTCGATGCAGATTCGGAGAATCAGCAATTCGGCCATAGACACAGCTAGAAATGTTTTTTCTACATACCTTGAGGTACCAGGCACAGCTCATGAATGCTGCAATGCTGGGGCAGATGGCGCATCCCACAGGAGTGCAGAGGGGGGCCCCATGTGCTCAGCGGTGAATCCGGAAGTGGACTGGAAGTACTTCCGGTCCACTTCCAGGTCTGCCAGGGAGCACACTGGGGGCCCCCCCACACACTTCCCCAGCTCAGCAATCAGCCACAGGGGGACCCCAGGTGCCCCCAACCCCAGACCCAGGAGGCACCAGTCGCTGAGCCGGATAGGTGCCC